TAATATTTATTTATTAAAAAAAAAAGAAAATTATTTCAGTTATAAAAGTTAAAAAAAATTAAATTAGTAATTTATTATGAAATTTTTTGTATTAAATATTATTAAAATTAATAATCTTTTTTTTAAAAAAATTTAGTTTAAAAGTAAAAAAACTATATAAAATTAATTAATAATAACATTTAAAGTTTTGAAAAATATTATTTATTAGTATTATTTTAAAAAATACATATTGAAATTTTAATATTAATATAAATAAATAAAAATAATAATATATGTAAAAATCAATAAAATATTATATAAAATAGAAATCAATAAAAAAAAAATATTTAATAAAATATAATTTATATTTTTTTCTTAATTTAAATAAAAAAATTTAAAAAAATGAATTTAAATTACAATTAAGAAAATTATAAACAGAGTAAATAAAAAAAAACATCTAAATTAATTAAAAAAATAAAAAGACCTTCTTTAAATCCTTCCCCCAGGAACTGAATAAGTTCAATAAATATTCGGAAATTTAATCATAGTATTTGGCGACTTAATAAATTTAAAATCATTATTCGACCCCTTAAATACATAAGTAAAGGTAAAGTTTTGGGGTCAAAAAGCAAATGGTTTATATGCCACATGCAAAAACTGCAATTAATAAATATTAAGCAAATACGGAAATAAAATAGAATATGAAATCCGTACGCCTTAAGTATTATTTGAAAAGTACTTAGAAGACATGGTAAAGTTAAAAATAGATATAGTGGATATCCGTAATACTAAATCAGTTGGAAATATATATGTAAACATGCTTTTATTTTTGAAGAATAATTGGACTTCATAGGAATAAATAAAAGGTCTTTTTCCAATTTTCAAATGTCAAAAGTATTGCAATAAACCAGAAATAAACGAAAAAATAGGTGATATTGAAATCGATATTTTAATTAAATTTTATACACATCCCATATAATTATAAGAAGATAAATTATCAAAATAAATGCAATAAAACCCTTCTATATTACCTTAAAATTTATCTCAAAAAAATATCTCTTAAATAAAGAATGAAAAAGAAAATAAAAAAAAGACTTTACCACATAAGATCTTTTTTTATTAAAAAATGAACTCGAAAATAATCTTTAATCGCCTCAAAATAATAAAAATAATCATCTATGTTCTTCTAAAAATGATATATTTTCTCCTAAAAACCCACAAAATAACCATATTTAAAATATATTTAAAGAAGAAACCCAAAATGACCAAATACAAAAATTAATCAAATAAAAATAAAAAGAACAGTACGAACAAATGTTACAAAAACAGCAAGAAAGAATGCTTTAATAATCTATAAATATAGATCATATAATACCAAATTTAGCCCCCGATCTAGAATTAATGAAACTAAAACTTGATGAAATTGATCTTTTTTAGAATTTAAAAATAAACGAAAATAATTATTTTGATTAAGAAAATATTCCAGATAACATTCCAGATAAAGAAAATTTAAACTTAAAAAAAGTCTCAGCATTTAGTATAAAAATAAATGTTTTTGAATAAAATAATCCACTTTTTAAAAAAAAACTAAATGACCAAAAACTCTATTTAACAATCCATATTCCCCGAATAGAAAATAACTAAATATTATAAGATTAATTATTCCTTTTATGTAGAAACCAATATAAGAATACATACCATTTTGAACAATTTTTTCCTTGCAAAATAGACTTAAATGAATAAAATATATCTCTTTTTACATAAGCGAGTATTTTTTTTATTCTGTATATAGGAAACTCACCTGAATAAAGGTTGGAATTCGCTAAAGGGGAATTTAAAATGAATTAATTATTATTAAAACCTTTTTTAAAAGGTACTTTTGACATATAGATGCTATTTAACATTTCTTTATTGGGAAAACAAGAAAAAACCAAGAAATAATAATTGTAAGAAAATAAAGTAGTGGGTGAATTAAATGTTTAAATTGAATTAATTAACGAAAAAAAGAAGAAATTATTTAAAAAAAGAAGTCATTAAAAAAGATAATGAACAACAATAAATTTAAAAAAAGAAGAGGAAATAAAATATATTAGTTCTTAATATTAATTCTAATTTTTTTATTTATAAAACATATACAAGACATACGAATAATAGGTTTAAATGAATAAATTTTTATTAGGCACAAAGTATATGGTACAAATGAAAACGTAGAGGCTTAAATGAACGAAGTAAATAATTAAGAAAGAAAAGTAATTTTTAACTATAGATTTAACATGCCTGTAAATAATAACTCAATTTAAAAAATGGGAAAAATTCCTTTCATTCTAGAAGTCTGGATTCGTAAAAATAAAGAAGAACTTTTGGGAATTTTACGTTTGAATTTGAAAACAATTAAATTATTATTAGCTAATGTTTAAGCTTTTACATAGAATTTATACCCTACAATACTTGTGGACGGAAATTAATAATTATGGAATACTTAAAAAACAAAAAGTTAGGGAAATCTTAATATGATTTTAGGATTTGGAACAGTTACTTAAGTACATAAATATGATTAAATGTTTAATTTGGTGAATACTAATAATACTTTTGGAAGATATGTAAAAAATAACTATTAAATTTAGGATGAGTAGAATTCAGGAAAGAATTTTAAATTAAATAGGAAAGGTTAATAGAAGAAAAATAGTGTTGATAAAAAATAAAATTAGGTTGATTATTCAGAAAATAGTAGAATTATAGATGAGAATAATATACAAGATAAATCATAAAATTAACACTAGTATTAAGTATTAAAAAGAATTAAATTTTATAAATAAAATCTTTTTATATATTTAAAAAAAAAAAAGTAATAAGAAGAACAGGAAATATAAGAAAATAGCAATCATTAATAAATAACTAAATAAAGTATAAATAAAATATTTATTTATATAATGGAGATAATCAGAAAGAATAAAAAAAGACTCTAAAACACTCTCCGAAACTTCATTTTAAAATCCGAAAACAATCAAAAAAGGTTTACTTTAATGGAATTTCATAAATTTTTAAACTCTTTACCTTTCCAAGATTTTTTTAACTAAAAAGAAGTATATTTTAACAAACTAATACAAATTTTAGACTTCGAAAATATAGGGGAAATTAACACTGATGACTTTATAAAAAGTTACAATAGTTATTTAAATTACGAAGAAATTCATAGAGATGTATACTCAGGAGCAATAAAGGAACTCGGGTTAATTTTAATGTCCAAAAATTATAATATTAATGAGTTTTAGAACTTTTTAGTTAGATAGAGTGAATTAGGATATGTTAAAAGGGAAAATATGAAGATTATTTTGGAAAACGAATTTTAATGTGATTAGGGTTTAGTTAATAAAATTGTTGATGTTTTAGATATAAATAATGATTCTCTTATTAAAGTTAATCTTTTACCGGATTATTTAAGGAATTTATAAGTTTATGATGGGCTTTCTTATATTTAGTGCGATTATTTTAAATATTTGGAACTTTTTTAGTAAAATTTATAAAATTATTTATTAAATAATTCTGAAATTTATTAAAATTTAATCTAAAACTAAGATGAATTTTAAGAAAAAATCATGTCTGCCAAGGATATTTAGTATCTTATATAAAGCTTAGGATTGGATATTTCATTTTGGGAAAGTTTGTGTATTATTGAATGCGTGAAAAGATAATTAAATATTATTAATGAAGAGGAATTTTAAATTCCTTTTGTATACTTTTAAGATTGGGTTAATTATTTGATAAAAGAAAATTATTAATAAGATGAAGATTATAATAATTAGAATAGTTTTAATGGATAAAATTAAGATGACGATTTAATTGAAATAATTAAAAATAATTATAAATGAAAATATATTTATTTAGTTATTTAAATATTTATATTTTTATTTATAAAATATGTATATTTATAAATATTTTTTTTTTTTTAATAAATATATTTTTATTATATATATAAATTATAGATACTATTATTTTTATTTTCTCATTAATTTTATTTTTTTTAATAATAATATTTGTAGATTTTCTTAATAAAAACAAATAATTTTATTATTTATCATAAAAAAAATGAACGAAAACTATTACTTTTAAGATTTTTGTTAGTTTTTTTTTATTATATAAAGAAACAAAAAACCCTGTATTAAATATAATTTTAAATATAATATAATGTATAATATAAATATTAGAAAAATTTATACTTAAACATAAATAAGATAGTCTATGTTTAAAATAAGAATTCAAAGAAATGATAAATAAAAAATTCAATTAATATGAATGAAACATCAAAAAATCCATATTTAAGAAATGTTTTAAAAGATACAATTAAAGGAATTTTTTGAAAAATTAATTAATAATTTAAAATTTGTTAAAAATGATAAATAAAATTATTAAAAATATATTTAATAATCACAAATAGAAAATCTGAATTAAATATAAAAATATTTTTTTATAAAAATTGTATAATATATAAAATATATAAATTAATAAAAGACTAAATTTCCTTTATTTAATTTATTTATATAATAAATTACATTAAATATTTTTTAGATAATAAAATTCGATCCATATAAATTATGATTAGAAAATAAAATTAAATAACCAGTATTTTACCAAATGATACTGATATAATAAATAATAAAGCCTTAATATATTTAAAATATACTTTTTTTTTTCTTATAGATTAAAAAAATACTATTATTTAACTAAATAAAGATTGTAATTTACTATTTTAAAACTCTTTGTTTTAAATTAAAATAATAATAGTGATAAGAACCTTATTTGTTTTTAATGTAATATTTTAATTATATTTATATGATTAGTATTTAATATTTCTAAAAATTAGTTATTTCAAGCATTAACAAATAGAGTTAAAAGCTTTAAACATAAAAAATATAATTATGTATAATATTTTTTTGGTTAATGAAAGAACAAAACATATATTTATTACAATTTATAATATTTATATCAAAAAAAAAATAAAAAAATTTCTAAATTTAATAAAATCATTTGCTTTAAAGATAATGATGCCATTTAGTACATCTAGAATTAATTCCAGGATTACTAACAGGGTCAAATTTTCCGAAATTTCCATATGTGTTTTTAGATTGGCTTATAAATCTTCTTGAAACATTTTAACTTTAAAAATATATATGTAAAAAAAATATATAAATTTTTACTATCTGTTTCCAAGTTCAATCTAAGTAGCATTTTAAAATTATAAATCTACATCTTTTATAGGTAATCTGTTTCTGTATGAATTCATAGAATATGGTTCAAGTAATTTATTTTTCATTCCAGCATGTTAAAATTGTCTTATTTTATAAACATCACTAATTTTTATATTAAAAATATGTTTAGTTTAAAAATATTAATAAATATAAATATGTATATGTATATATATATATATATATATATATATATATATATATATTTACCTATTTAATGAATTTATATATGTACTTTTTGTTATTTTATCTGCATATGATTAATTAGCTAAAGTATAATAAGGGACTGCTTACGGGACATTTACTTTGACTTTTATATAAGAACAACTATTTACTCTAGTATCTTTAAAAAAATCAGGAGATTTCTATTCTTTTTATTCTCCTAAATAATTTAAGCGTTTTTCGTACTAACTAGATTTATTTGTGCCATTTATTGGTGGCAAAAATGAAGATTTATTTTTAAGTAAGGTTGTCATAATTTTATTTGATAAATAATATTTTTAATTTTATTAATAAAATTTTTATTTATTTTATTGTTGTTTTATAAATATTTATTTTTATTTCTTATTAAAATATAACTTTCAATAAAGACATTTGGGGAAAAATAAAAAATATATATCTATATAATAATATTAAATACAATAAATAAAATTTTTAATTCATTATTTATTTTTATATGGAAAATTTCAAGATTATTATTATCGTAATATAATATATATTTTAAATTAAACTATTTTAATAATTTAATATTAAATAAATATATTTTAAAAATATTATAATTAATATTTATAAAGGATTATAAAAATTATAGATTTTATTTTAAAAAAGTTTACAAAAAATTAAATATAGAATATACATTTATTTTTAAAAAAATAATAAAATAAAAAATTATATTTAATTTTATTTTTATAATTGATAATTTTTTATTATTTTTTTATAATTATTTTCTGTAAGTAAAACAAAATAATTTATACAATCAACTTATTTTTAATTACAATTTTTATTTATATTGTTATAACATTGCTTTGAATTATTATTTAGATAAATATTATTCTTAATTAGTGTTTTGATCTATACTTTTTTTATCAGTTAAAGTTTCGTTTTACTTTATAACAAAAAATTAAATAATAAAAATGTAAAATATTTATGTATGTATGTATATAAATACAGATTGATTAGGACTTTAAATATTTCTAGAATTCTAATTTTGATCATTATTATTATTTACATAATTATTATTATCTTTTTATAAATTTTAATATTAATTTCCAGTTTAACAGCCATTTTAATTTTAATTTTAGTTTTATTTATAATTTTGATTATAATTACTGAGTTATTCATTCTAATTTTAATTTGCATTTATGATATCTTAGTATTTTATATTCTCATTTTGATTTAAATTTAAATATCCATTTCCTTTATTTTTAATTATTTAATTTTCATTGATATTTATATTTTAATTTTTGCTATTTTTTATATATTCCCAATTTTTATTATTATTCAGATATTATTTCTATTAATTTAATTAATGAGTACTTTTACTTACATTTTTAGCAATGCCTTTAGATATATTTCTATAAGTATTACTCAGCAGTGGTTTATAATATGGGATTTATTTTTATAATTTTTATTATTATTCTTAATAAAAATTTTATAAAACAGAATTATTTTTTATAGTTTAATATTAAATTTTTTTCATTTAATAAATATTTTTTATATTTGGCAATTTATTGCTTTGGCTTTTATTATTATTTCTATTTAGATTTTTAAGTTGATTGGTTGAATTATTTTTTACTTAAGAAAAGTATTTTTAATTTTTATTATTTTACTAAATTTGAATAAAAATATATAAAATTTATTATTTTTTACTAATCCTTATTACATTAATAGATGTTACATAGTTTATTTTTAAAAATATTATTATAAATTTTTATCTTTTAAGCCATCATATTTAGGTAACATGGCTTATTTTGTTGCACAATCCAGTATAAATTCAGGTCTTTTTTTCAATATTAATTACTATTTGTATATATCTTAATTTATTTATTTATCAAATTTGAATTCTTTTTATACTTCCATTTTTTTTGATAAATTTAAATAAAATTTATTCCTATAGAATTATTTATAAAATAAAATATTTTTATTATTTATTATCTGTTTATAGATTTTATTGTATGAGATTATTAAATAAATAAAATAAATTACTAAAGTGTAAAAAAGTTATTTAATTATGAATAATATTAATTTTTATAAAGTTTTACTTTATTTTTATATATTATTAAAACTTCATTTTATAAATGTTTTATAATTATACATTAATAAATGCCAGTTTTTATTAAAAAAAAAATTAAGGTTTTTATTTTTAATAATATTAAAACATCTTAATAAAAATTTTAAGTTTTATAATAATATATATATATATATTTATAAAAATCTTTATAAAAAAGTAAGTATATAATAAATAATGTATAAATTTAATTTTTTATTTTATATAATTTTTAAAAAATAAAAATAATTTTATAAAAATAATAATGCATACATAATTAATAAAAATAAAAAGAAATATTTTTTTTACCTCAAAAAAATAAAAAAATCAAATATTGAATATTTCAATATGAAGATATATTTTATGTATTTATATATTAATTGTTATCAAAAATAAATAAATAAGAAATTAAAAAGTTAAAAAAAAAAAAATGATTTTGTTTAAATATTGCTTTAAATTTAAAAAATAAACAAAAAACATAATTAAATATATATATATATATAAATAAGACACACACATTCTAAAAACATTCAATATTCAACAAAATTCATTCAAAGTAAAAAATAAACTAATATCAAAACTAAAATGCGTGAATTAATTTATATATATATAAATTAATAAAAAAGAAGAAAAAAAAAAAAAAATACATTCAATTTTTTCCTCATTCTTATTATCTGAATAATGGTAATCTAGACAAAGGACCTCTTACTCCTAAAACCTTAACATTGCTGCCATCAGGAATTAACTTTCCTTCCTTTCTCAATTTAGAGTATTAATATCTTGTAAGGTTAGTGAAACCCCATTTTTAAGAAACGACAACTTTTTATCTGCCAGGGAATTTAGCTTTAGCTCTAGTGAGAGATTCTATAGCAAATTTAACGTGTTATTCTTTACATCTAATCGAGAATAAAACCTTTCCAATATAAACTCTTGCTGCTTTTCCCAATGCTTTACCAAAAGCACCTCTCATACCTGCTTAAAGTCTATCTGCACCGGCGCATGATAACATTTTATTAATTCTGAGTACGTGCCATGGGTGAGCTCTACATCTTAAATGGAAGTTTTCTTTTGAGACGAATTTAATCATATTTTTGTTGGCAGAAATACGAGCTGCTTCTAATGCTTCGGAGGTGATTTATTCTTTTTCATCAGATACAATATGGACGACATAAGGGAATTCGTCACATGGGGCTCTCTTTTTTCCAGCATCGTATATTCTTAATTTTGGATCAGGAACACCTCTGTTATATCTGGATTTAGGATACACTTTACCTTTAGGTTATCTGTAACATCTAGCTGGTCTTCTTCCCATTTTTATTTTATTTATTTGATTTTTCTTTTTTTGATTTTTTTTTGGTTTTATTGTTTTTTTTTGTTTTTTAATTATTTTCGATTGTCTTTATATATTATATTATTTTTTGTTTTTTAATACTTCTTATATTTTTTTTTATTTTTGATTCCTTTTTTTTTAATAACAAAAGACAATTTTTGTATTTTTTTTATCTTACGAAACAAGAAACAAATATTAATTAATTTTTGAACTCTATTATATTATTATATATTTCTTGTTTCTAGTTTTTTCTTTTATTCTTTTTTTTATTTTTTCCTCTATATTTATTTAAATACATTATTTATATTTGCATTTTTTTTTCCTTTAAAAAAGTATTTTTAGCTTATATTAGTTTTATACTTTAAGTATTTTTTGCATTTTTCGTTATTTTGAAGTATTCTGGATTTGTAATTTAAGGTATTTGTTAAAAATCAATATTCTAAACTATTTATGTTCAAAAATTATATCAGTTACTTAAAATTTCTATTTATATTTACTATTTATTGAAAGAAAAAAATATTGCTAAATATTCCGAAATATTAATATATATAAATAAATATAAAAAATATAACTAATTAATTAAAAGGAGGAAAAAATAAAGATATATTTTTAAATTTAAGGAAAAAAAATAAGATTAGATAATTATATTTATAAAAATAATTTAAAAATAAATTAATAAATGTGTTTTTTATTTTCATTTTTTTTTAAAAAAAAATTATTATTTTTTTGATTAATTTTAAATGTAAATATTATTTAATTTTTCTTTATTTAATAGTTACATAAATAAAATAAAAAGAATAAATTTTCATATAGCATATTCGTAAAATTTTGTTTCATTTTAAATATTAATAGGTATTATATTTAATTTTTAAAAAATATACAATTTTATTTATTTTTTATTTATATTAAAAAAAATATTTCACAATTATTTTTAAAAAAAAAAAATATAAAGAAATTATATAAATATAAAAAATACAAACCATAAAAAAAAAAAATATTAATTATTTAAATTTAAATTACATATATTTTCAAAAATATTTTTTTCTAATAAAAGAATTATTATTTTCATTATTATTATTATTTCTTATTAACGAATTATTATTTTCATTATTATGATTATTTCTTATAAAAGAAATTTTATTATCATTATTACAATTACTTCTTATAAAAGAACTATTATTTTAATTATTATTAGTATTGCCAATATTATTATTAATACTTAAATTCCCTTATTATTATTATAAAATAAATAGTTAATAATATAAAACGTTAAAATAATTAGAAAGTATTTAAATAAAATGTATAAAAAATATTATAAATATTATATAATTTATATAATTTGAAATATTAAAAAAATTTAAAATATTTAATAAAATTAAAAAAAAGGTAATAATTAAATTAAATAAATTTTAAAAATAAGTAATAATTAAATAAAATAAAATATTACTCCTAAAATGATTACTCCCACATTTTGGAATATCTAAAGGTTTATTTTTGGGTATTTCATCTCTACTATAAGTAGAAATGACATTATTTTCAAGTTAATTAGTTTCATAAACTGATATATCTTATTATTTTTAATTATTATATTTAAAGTTATTATTATTAAAATTATTAGAATTTGAATTATAAGAAACTCTATTAGTATCATTTTTAATGCTGTTTTATGTTATATTTATAATATCTAATTCTGACTTTAAAGCTCTATTTTCAGCCTTAAGCTTTTTTTTTTTTATTAAATATTAAAAACAAAAAAAATAAAAATATTACTTTAGTAATTTATCTTTCTTAAATTTAATAGTTTTCTAGCTTTTTATTATAAATAATTTCTTCTTTTTCTATTTATTATTCAATCAATTATTTTCTTTAAAAAAGCAAATTTATTTCTTCTTTTAAATTCTAAACTTTTTTTGTAAATCCAGGTGTATTATTTTAATTATTAAGAAGTATATTTTTTTCATTTTCTAATTAAGAAATTTAAAAGCTTAAACAATTAAACTCTTCAATAATATTCAATATATCATCTGAATTAATGAATTTTTATTAAATTTTTATAATATATTCTAATATATCTACTTATTATTTTTATTTATCCTCTTTAAAATAATTTAATTCTCTTTTTAATTCTTTATTCTTTATTTTAATATGTTTTTTTTTAATTTAAACAATAAAATATTACTTGTTTTTCTAAAATTTCTATTTCTTTAATAAATCTGCTATTTCCATTTGAAAAATTGCAAAAATTCTATATTTAATAATATATTTCATCTAATATATAGTCCATATCTTAATAATCTTCTAAATTTCGTTCTCTTCTATCTAAAAGATATAAAATTTCACATAATTTTTTCTAAATTTATTAATCTTATCCTTTATTTTAACATAAATTTTTTAATTCAGAAATTTTTTTCTCATAAAACTCCACATTAGCTTAATATTTTATAGTCAAAGTATTTAATTTAGCCGAATCTTCATCTCTTTCTTTTAAATGAATTTTTAAATCTTCAATTTCTAATTCAAGATCAGTTATTTTTTATTTTTAAATAAAAGTCTGATTTTTAGATTAGTCCAATTATTAACAAAGATTCTAATTTTCTTTTAAAATTTAATTTTTTTCTTCCTAAAATCTACCTTTACAAAATTCTTAATTTTACTAAAAAAATAAAATAATATATTAATATTTAAAATAAAATAAAATATTACTTAAATTTAAGTATTTAATTATTTAATAAAATCTTCTTTCAATTCTAAAAGTTTACATTTTTCATTTAAAATATCATTAGTATTATTTAATTTTTATTAACATTTTTCAAATTCATTATTTATTTCTTCTAGAGTTTGATTTAAAGTAATAATATTATCTTTTTAATCTTCAAATTTAATTTAAAAATCTTATTTTTATTCTTCCCAAAAAATATTCATATTCTCGATTTTTTCATATAAATTCTTTATTTCTTCTTCTTTTTTTTTAATATTTTTTCCAAATTTTCATTTTTTTCTAATTAAATTTTATAAATTTCTTCTTATTTTTTTTTTCTTCTTTTTCAATATTTTTTATTTTTTCTTCAAATTTTTTTTATTTATCTTCAAAATATAATATTTTTTCATCTTTTTCTTTTATTGTTTCTTCAAAATCTTTCATTTTTTATTCAAGAATTTTAAGATGTTTATTCTTTTGATTAATTTCTTCATTTTTAACTGTATTTTCTTCGATCAAAAAGCCATTTTGTTCCCTTAATATATCTAAATTTTTCTAATTTTTATTAAAATTATTCAATTATTCTTCCAAATCTTCATTTTCATTTTTTAAATTTTCAATAAATGAAATAAGGTTTTATTTTTCGTCCTAAAGATCTTAAATTTATCCATTAAAAAATTCATTTTTTTAAAAAAAATCCGTTTCTTTTTCCAAATTTTTAATATTTTATTATTACTAATTAATAATTTCTTGCTTTTAAATAAGTTTTTTTTTAATAACCTACAATTCTAAATAAATATCAATATGAGAAAGATTCTAAGAAGAATTAGCTGTTTTAAAAAAATTCATAAACCCATTATCATTTAAATTTTTTGTTAATTATTCTTTTAAAATACTTATTTAAGACCTTTATTACTCGGAATTTTACATTTCTATTCTAAAATTATCTTCTAAATATTTTATTTTCTCATTTGCTTTTTCATATTATATTATTAAATTTCTCATTTAATTATTACTGTTTTCTTAGAATTAAGATTATTGTTATTACTAATCATTTAAACTATTTATATTTTCTTTATTGTCCAATCTAATACTCTTTTAGTTATTATTTTCGAAAATTTTTCTCCTATTAGTACTTGAATAATTACTATTTGTAGAACTATTTCTCGAAGTCAATTTTTTATTCAAAGACTTATTTGATTAATATTCTGTATAAGTCCTAATTTATTAACCAATTACATTCTGTGCAAAATTAGGAGAATTTATATGCTCTAATTTTTAATTATTTGAACCTAATACTGATTTACTTCTAATAGAGCGTTAAGTTTATTAATTACTGTTTGTATTTTATATTGAAAAATTATGATTTCCCTTTTGGTTTGTAGGTGAATATTCATTTTGTTGTGTTAAATTTCTTTATATGGAAATAAGGTGTTATTTTATGGGATCGTTTTGTATATTTCCTTCTGTTTTTAAAGTATATTTTATGTTTGGAATTTAATTTTTTTATTATTCTTAAATTTATTGCATCTAAAAAGTATATTTTTTTAGTTTTTTTTTTATTTTTACGTGTTCTCTTAAACTTAATGTTGTTTTCATTTTTTTTTTTTTAATTTTTTTTTTTTTAAAAAAAAAAAAATAATAAAAATTTAAATATAGTATTTTTTTTTTTATTAAAAAAAAAAATTACAAAATTTATTTAAAATTGATATATTTATTTAAATTATTTATTTTTTTAATAAAATATTATTAAAATTATTTTTAAATAACAAAAATTAATAGTAAAATCAAAATAATATTTTAAGAAATAACAAAAAATTCAAATATATCTATATATAATCTTAAATATAAAAAATAAAGTATATTCTTTTTATAAATCATTTCATTAATTAGTATTAATTTTAAAATTATATTTTTTATGAGCTTTATGAATATCATGCCACCAAGAAGGTCTTGCGAAAGTATTTTTAGCCGAAAACAACTAACTAATGTATCTATTATAGACATCACCATCATAAGCTCCCATAGGTGCTTAAATAATAAAATCAGGAGGAGCTAAAACATCCAAAATTTTAATATATTCTCCTTTAAGTTTTCTAAAAAAAAATATTATTAATATATATAAATAATATAATACGCGCATAAATCAATAATAATATTTTTAATTAAATCATGTTATTAACAATTTAAATATCCGCCCTATCTAAAATTACCTATATCTTTATTTATAATATCAAGTGCCCATAATACAAAGAAATCAGTCAGAACTTTCTATTTATTTATTTTATTTTTAAATTAAACAAAAAGAATTAAAAATATTTAATACTTTATTTTACATATTATTTAATCTATTAATTTATTCCAAAGTTTATTAACCCATCCAACATTCACCAAAAGATTTAGCTAAATCAGAAATATATAAAGGTTAAGTTTTATTAAAAGCGTCCCATTAATTTTAATTATTTTATCTATTTTCCTATAATTTCATTACACTTTTTTATAATAACTGAAAAAAAGAAAATATAAATACCAAAAAAAAAAAAAATTACTAAATTAACTCTCCATTATAGCATTTTTATTAAATTATTCGGACATACAAAATCTTTAGTATCTTAAAATTCAATTTATTATCCTAAAACAGGTTGCACAGTAATATATTAAGTACACTAAAATTAAACTTACTTTCCTTAAAATAACTTAGCTGCTACTTCTAATAAAAACTTCCCAGTTTATTAAATAAGTACATTATTATCTCCTTCCCAAGTAACATTAATATCTATAAAACAAAAAATTTATAGTTTTTTTTATTAAAAAAAAATATGTATATAAATAAATATAAACCATTATCATTATATAGCTATCCGAATCTATTAAAAGCTGAGAACCCATGACCTCCTAATAATTACCTACATTCTGAAATAATCATTTAAGCCTACCATGAAGAAAGTGCCTTCAAAGCTGAACTTATAGCATGCAATTCATTAACAAGTGTATTTTTAACATCCATTAAATGCTTTAAATTTGCATCCCAAAGTTAATTAAGTATAATAGAAGAAAATTATACAACAATAGTAGCCGCTAAATTAGGCATAATCCTATACTAAGTAAGTGTATATTCAATCAAAGCCTACTCTGCTTTTCCTGGAGGTCCAAACTAAGTTCTAACAGCTGAATATCTACCTGCTATAGTTAACGCAATAATTGAATTTTGATTCGCATTTAATGCAATTAGTATTCTTCCTCCACTTAAACTACTCATTTAAATTCCGAATCTTTTATCGTCGTTTTCTATCCAAGTCTTAAACTTCCCATTTTCGATTTAAGAGAATCTATCTAACATATTATCATAAGGAACTCTGACATTATTAAAAATCATAAATCCATTATCTATTCCATCGAGCCCATTTTTAGGACCACAATCTCCCACAATTATGCCAGGCAAAGTTTTGTGTGTATCCTTATTTCTTATAGGTACTAGAAAAGCATGTACTCCATGACATACATCATCTATATATAATTGGGCCCAGCAAACAGTTATATTAGCTATTTGAGCAGCTGCACCAATCCAGAATTTCATGTCTTCCTTCGAAGATGTATTTATAACAAATTCATTGTTGTTTTTGTCATAAGTAGCTATTGTTCGGATACCTCTTACATTACTTTTTATATATCAAAAATTTATTCAATATAATATATTTAATTACCTTCCATGGGACATTTCTGTAAGACCAAAACTACCTATATCTTCCAATTTCATCATTCTATCAATGTAAGGTAAGTGTTTTTCAGTTCCGATATTCATTAATGTTTTACCATATAAACTGAAATGGACACCATATTTTACACAAATAGAAGGACTCCAAGCATAAACTGCATTAGAAGTCATTGTGAACGCATGTGGGTCTTTCTAATATTCATTATAACCCATATTTAATGTTTTTTATATGAAATGGAGTTCTTTGAAAGCTGAATAACGTTAGGCTTCTCTGTCCTGCTCTTCAGTATATGGGGCATTAAATTTATCCTAGTTATTACATATTATATCAAATACTAAGTCTCTATAAGAAAATTTGGGACCGTAAAAAGCTTATTTTAATTCTTCTTTACATGTCGAACCTAAATTTCGATAATATTAAAGCGATTATTAAGGACTGAGTTCTATATTGCAATTATAAATAATTTAATTTTTAGATATTTTTTTAAAAAAATTCTTATATATATATTTTATACGTCCAATTTATTGAGTTAGTTAGGATAGTCTATTTATTGATATTTCGTTTGATTTTTACATATTTATATTATGCTTTTTATTTTGTATTTTTATTAAAGTATTTTTTTTAATTATATTTATTATAAATATAATTTAATTTTATAAAAATATATAATATTACATATTGAAAATATTACGTATATAAAAAAAATTTACGTAATTTAAGTAATCAATATATAAATTTATTTACATTTCTTTTTTAAAAAATTAAATAATATAGCATTATATTTTACATCTTTTATTTAAAAAAAAGACAGAGAAATATATTGAATCAAAAATTTATTTTTTTTAAAAAAAAATTATTTAAGTAAAATTAAATAAATATATTAGATTTATTAAAATTTATATACATAATTATTTAAACAAAATATATATTAATATATAGCTTTATAAAATTATTAATAAAAAAATATATTAACAAAATAAGAAATTAATAAAATGTTATAGAAAAATGATTTAAAATTTATACCCATAATCAAATAAATGTAAAAAACAAAAAATAATACAAAAATAAAAAAATGTAAAAAAAGTAAAAATTAATAATTATAAAATTATAAAATAATAAAAATAATTTTTAAAAAAAATAAATATATATATAAAAAAATGCAAAATTAAATATAAATAAATGTATAAAGATATATAAAATATAAATTTATATATAAATACATATACATATATATATTTATTAAAATATATATTTATATATATAATAAAATATAGATATATTTTTTCGATTTAATTTCATTAAATTTTATATATTTTTTATTTAAATTCGTTATTTATAATTATATAGTATAAATTAAAATTAATTTTTATTTTATTTACATATATATAAAATATATATATTTTTATAAATATGTTTGTAAATAAAAACAATACAATATATATATAATTTATAAATTATTTTATTTTAATATTTTATTCAAAATTTATATTTTTTTAAAGTAAAAAAAATCTTTTTTTTAATATATTTAACTTTATTCATTTTTTATTTTATTAAGTATTTTGTAATTTTACTATTTATTATTTTAAAATTTTATTTTGTTAATATAATTAATCGTTTTTATTATCATTTACTATTTTTTAATATTTGTCCAATTAATTATTATATTCTATATTTTTTTCCTTTAGATTTTATTATTCCAATTATATTTATTCCAATTTTTGTTAATATTTATTCTAATTTTATTAATATTTCAAATTTTAGTTTTTCAATTTCAAATTTTCTAATTGAATTTCTTATTATTTTATAGTAAAATTAATATCAATTAATTTCTATTATTAATAATTTTTTTAAAAAACCAATATTTCTTTTTATTAGCATATTTCTTATTGTTTAATATCTAAAGCTTAAAGTTTACTAATTAAATTTTAAGTTTCGATTTTATATAACTATTTTATATTATAAATAAAAATTAAACATTAATAATTAAAC